GAAAACAACAACGAACATAACACCATCAACAACAACAACCACAACAACGACAATAACAGCACTAACAACAACAACAACAACAACAACAACACCAACAACACCAACAACACCAACAACAACAACAACAACCACGACAATGACAACAACAGCAGCAGCAGCAGCAACAACAACAACAACCACAACCACAGCAACAACGAAAGCAACAACGAAAACAACAACGAAAACAACACAACAACAACAACAACAACAACAACAACAACCACAACAACAACAACAACAACGACGACGACGACGACGACGATGACAGCAACAACAACAATAACAACCACAACAACAGCAGCAACAACAACCACAACAACAACAATCAGTTCACCCTCATGTGCGATGTTCCACACGAAGCATGTGACCATCATGATAACCATCCCCATCATGGGGGACAGTTGTTCTGTAGCGGGGTCCGATATTCCCATTCCCAGATCTCCCGCCCAATGAGGTCTTGCAAACACCTCCTCCCAAGAATTTCAACATATCCAGCCTCGAAAACGCATGCCCGCGCCTTGCTGCTCCGATGCGAGACCGCCAATGGAGCCCCAGCCAAGGGTGAAGCACAAGGAAGTATCGAGCGACAGGATTGCCTTGGTGGGGATGGGGGCTGTCGGCGGCGAGGCAAGGACCTCGCCTTGAATAGAAAGAGAGGAAGTCTTGAGCAGGGCCACTGTTGTTGCTGGGAGCGGCGCCAATGCTGAAGAGAGTAGGGCGGTAGTCCAGCGTAAAACGAAGCCAAATCTCGAGCGGGAACGCTGGTTTTGTTGAGACGGCGGGTGTCTGCGGCGAGGAGGAACAGTGCCTTGAGTAAAGGGAGGAAGTCTAGAGCGGGAACCGTCGTTTTGTCGGGACGGGGGCTGCCGGCGGCGAGGAACAGCACCGTCCTGAGGAAAAAAGGAGGAAGCCTCGAGCGGGAGCGCTGTTTTTGCTGGGAGCGGCGCCAATTCAAAAGAGCGTAGGGCGCCAGTCCAGCGTAAAACGGGAGGAAGTCTCGGGCGGGAGCGCTGGTTTTGTCGGGACGGTGGTTTTCGGCGGCGAGGAGGAGCACCGCCTCGAGCGGGAGCGTTGTTGTTGCCGGGGACGGCGCCGATGAGAGAAAGAGTAGAGCGGACGCAGAAAAGCCCTCCCCGCCCCTTCGCCCTCATTCCCCGCCTCTGCTTCCCCTTCCTCCCACATCCGCCCCCTCCCCCGAATCCGCACTTCTCGGCGTCTTCTCGGGCCAGCGCGGTACGAGCAGACCGTTTGAAAGGCAATCGTCACTTGCTACAGCCTTGTATCCTCGAGCACCGGCCAGTACAGACGCCATCTTTGCTGCCGCGCCAGCACTGCAGCCGATGTGTCGTAAAGACATGGCCTTATTATACGCACATACATTTGCAAATATAGACATACACACATACATACATATTTACATACGTCCTTGGGGGGCTTGCGAATTGCGAAACTGCCGGCGCCACCACTTTCGAGGGCTGCTGGGGGACCCAGCGGGATGACGTGCTACGCAGATTCAAAGTAGATCTCGCCAGATGGGGGGGGTACGAAATCCGAAACTTTCGCCACTTGCGCCCCACGCAGACTCAGACTAGACCGCACCATTCTTGACGGGGGGGGGGGGGGGGGGAAACTGCGGAAGTGTGGCCACGTTCGAAAGCTGCTGGAGAGTCCTGCGGAATGACGTGCGGCGCAAGTACAAACCAAACCTCGCCATCCCTGAAGGGGGGGATGCGAAGTGCGAAGCTGCCGCCACTTTTGAGGGTTACAGGGGGGTCCACCCGAGTGACGTGCCACGCAGGCTCAAACTAAATTTCACCATGCGTGCGATGCGGATTCATTGGCATGGGCGCGGCCCGGCGCCCTGTCGTCACAAAGATTCACCTGTTCATAGCGAATGCAAGAAGCGAGAGAGGACGAGCTCGCCCGCCAGGTTCTCCACTTCTTTCGTGCACATTGCAGCGCGGGGGCTAAGCGCCCGCAGGCGCGCCGCCAGGTCTTCGGGCAGCCCGTGAAAAGGAAAATTCAAGGCGCATCTAAATCCGCGTGGAACTTCGTTATGATGGATCCCCTATCAGCCCTCGAGAGAGGCGACAATTTCGCAGTTCGCAATCCCCCACGGATGGTGAGGTCGACCCTAAATCTGCATAGCGCGTCACCCCGCTGGACCTCAAATATGAACATGTTGCGAAACCGTCGCCACTGTCGAGGGCTGCTGGGGGGTCCAGCTGAATGGCGTGCTACGCACATTCTGATTTGACCTCGCCGTCCTTGAGGGGGCTGCGAACTGCGAAACTGTCGCCACTGTGGACGGTTGCTGGGAGGTCCAACATACGCGGACTCATGTTAGCTCTGAGCTCCTTTCCCGCGGGGTGCCCGAGGACCCGGCAGAGCGCCTGCGGGCGTCTGGCTCCCGCACTGCAGGGTGCAAACAGAACGGATACCCTGGCGAGGGGCTCGCCCTCGCTCGCTTCTCGCACCAGCTTTGAACAGAGCGCCAGAACGACATGGCGCGGGCCGCGCTGCGTGCCCAGCATGCCAATGGAAAATCGTTGTCGTCCGATTCCTCAAGCCACCGTCTCGCTGCTGCTGTCGCGTTAATTGTTCGGCCCCTCTTCCGTCCATTTCCTGTCTTCGAGCCTGGGTCCTCCGCCCTCGTCGTTACGTTGATCCTGTATTGTCATCAGCCATAGTATGCTGGACAAATCCTGTAGTCGCTTGATGCACATGGGTTGGGTACGTCGCAGGGCCTCTTTTTCACGGACCAGGGCAGTGATGATGAAAAATGCCAGCTTACCCAAGGAGGCAAAGAGGACTCCACCCTGCGATGCGCAAGCCATGGAGGAGAGGGAACAGACGGCGAAAGATGGAACCAAGACGCAAGGAAAAACCCAAGGAGGAAGAGCACTAAATGCGTTCGCATGTCCAGAGAAATCCCGCCTGGGGCAGATCGCCATGAACTGAGAACGGGAGAGGCGCGCAGCACCTGCTCACCTGGACGGAGCACGGCATGCTGGCACTAAGGCCTCATTGGACAGCTGTTGGGCACCCCGCTTTGTTCTTCAGATGTTGAACGCGGTCGAGACATCCTGAGCAGTGCAGAATGTGAGCAACGCCACCCCTGTGGCGATGAGTCACACATGCAAGAGAACTGAAAACGGCACAGTTTCGCAAACGGGTGCGCCAGCGCGCACGCGGGCGCTGCGCCGAGTGAGCGAGGACGAGGCCGTTCGGGCGCTCAGCCACACGTTTGCGGCTGCAGCGTGCGGGGCGGCGCGTGCGGGGTGCATCTGGGCTTTCACTAAAGGAGCCCAGGGTCACACAAAGAAATACACACAAATCCCAGGATTCCCAATATTTTCCCATATTTTCTGGGTTTTCGTCTTCCCCCCCACTTCCCATCTTTTCCTGAGAGTCGACCGACTCCCTGTGCCCGTGTGCCCCTTCCCCTCTCGACTCGCGTGGCAGGGCCTCGTCCACAGACCACACGGAGGCCCGTCCGCGCCAGAGGACGGCGCAGACGCAGGCTGGCCCCGGGCCTCCGGAGAGGGCGCGGACTGTGGGCCGACCAGGGCCCTGCCCCTCCGAAGGGGAAGAGCCACCGATGCCGCTGCGCCGCCTTCGTCGCCGCTGCCGGACTCGCCTCGAGGTGCTGGTCCGAGCTGCCCCCTGGGAGAAGTCCGGGGAGCAGCAGCAGCACGACTGCCTGCTGGTGCACCCGGTGTCGGGTGCCCAGCGCTGGGCGGACCGCTCTGCGCGGTCGGGGTCCTCCTCTCGCCTCCGCGCCCTCCGCCCCTTGTCTCTGCCCATGCCTGCCCATGCCTGCCCCGCCAGCAGGAGCGCGGCGGGGGAGGTGGCGGGCGGGCGCAGGCCACGGCATCGCCGAGTGATCCCGAGCCCCCCAGCCGCCCACGAGCAAGGCGGCGGCTCACCCCGTGTGCAGGGTGGCCGCGGTGATCCAGGCACGGGCGCGGTGGTCAGAACTGCAGGTGGGGCCTCCGCGTCGGCAGTCGCAGCCCCCCCCCGCCACGCAGGGCAGGCAGGCCGCGGCGGTTGCTGCGCTGGGCGATGGGAGCCGATACCTTCCTAGTTCGGCATCGGCAATTCGGAACGAGCGCTGAAAACGGCCTCCACGGCATCACTGGAGCAAAATGCGAAATACTCTAGACTCTGAATAGTTGCCTTCGTTGACCTGGCAGGTGGGACATGTCCACGTCTCGCATGCGCAAGCCAAGATGTCCTCCTCCACGACGGTGCGGCTAATTGCTGCCTTTGGGCATACCCGAAGCCTGGAGCCGAGGCGGTCCGTCTGGTCGGCTCTGGCCCGAATGGTGCCGTTCTCGACCACGGCCCCACGGGCGGCTCCATGGAGGGTGCCTCGCGAGGAGAAAATTAGATGCCCGGAGCTGGTCCCTGAAGGTCCGCTCTCCTGGCACAGAGCGGGCACAGTGAGCAGGGCCAGGGCCGTGCGATGAGGTGACGGACAACTCGCGCTGCCCGCTCGGGGCGACATGCCTTTGTCGCCGAGTGCCTTGGCACGCTGCGAAAGCGTTGGCGTATGGTTGCCATCGCCCCCGATCGTCATCATCATCATCATCACGATCATCAGAACCAGCGTGAACATCATCAGCATCGTCATCATCGCTACCATCACCACCTCGAAGAATCACCAATAACCAGAAACCTCAATCTCGTTGGCACCATCACTACCAACCACCACCAGGTCATCACGCTGCGCCTTCATTCATCATACGAACATTCAGACGTCACCAGCACCACAGCGTTCATCACCACCGCCATCCTGCCCACCACGCTTCTGACAGCCGCTGAGACGATCGTGTCACTGCTGGAAGTCCCATCCGCCATGATTGCAACAGCAGCCAGGGCGCTTCGCACTTCTCACGTCGAGCCAGGCTGGCGGTGGGAGGAGGACAGGACGGGAGAGGAGGTGTCGGTCGAGGGGCCTTGTAATCGGCAACAAGCTTCGAGTTGAGCGTGGTCTCCGCACACTTGATCAGCATCGACCGCTTCTCCTCCATCGCACATTCGTTGGTGGCGCTCTTATGACAGAAATGCCGATGCACACGTACACAAACACACACACACATACAACATACACGGTATGTCGAGGGCGCACAGGGAGTAGCATACATAGATATACACACAGACATGCCTATATATGTGTATATATATACATAAACATACACACATACATACTTCTCGCGCCCGCGATCTGGCGAATAGCCATTCAAGCGGTCACCCTGCTTTGATCAATGCAAGCATCGGTTGAAAAACGACGGGCGATGTCTGCCCGAAGAAAGAAAGATAAGCGCGCGAGCCGAGCCCCGCGCACTTCTGGGAATGGCCCGTCGTGGAAGGGGGGCGGAGCAGAAGAGGACGCGTACAGCACAAGAGATGCGAACACACACACACACACACACACACACAAACACACACAGAGACACACACACACACACACACACTGATAGACACACACACACGTATCCCTTCAGCGGTCGAGGGGAGGGGCGTCACCACTGCGAGAACCAGGGTGGGCTGCAAACCAGCCGAATTACACACGACGGTTTCGCCAGCGGGTGGCTGTGCACGCTTACGGCAGCGACCCGACGGGTAAACACTCGAACGGTACGGATGCGACGGCCAGCACAGAGCAGCCCGGACGGGGGAAGCCAGTGGAGAGCACTGAAGGACTGACGTTGCTGCTGGCAGGGCGCTCAGCCGACGAAGAGGAAGAGGAAAAGCAGGGAGCCGAGAGACGCTTCTGAGGTGCTTGGGCGCGAATGGAGGGGGAAGAAAGGTGCCACTTCGGGGTCCTAAAGGCCCCCTTCAGGACTCCTTTTCTGCAGCCCTCGCTGCCACCCCGTTTATCGCCCCACCATCACACGCCCCCCGAAGTTCTGGCTACCGTAGAGCGCCTGGGGAAGCTGTGAAAAAGGCCGCCGGGAGGACCTGTCGGGGTGCTGGCTGCCGTAAGAGGGCCAGGGAAGGTGGTGAGACCAGGCCGCCAGGGACGTGGCAGCCAAGCATTCTTTGCCAGAGCCGCCACAGGAGGCAAGAAGCATGTCAGTCTGGTCGTTGAAAAGCATGCGGTGTTCATATGTGTTTGGAAAGCTCTACCTTGAAATGCTCAGCTGAACTGTTTTGTTGGAAGGATTTCGATATACGCGAGGGGCGGCGCGCGCGCGTGACCCACATGGTGTCATTTGATACGGATTCGTGCACTGGGCGCGTGCTGGATCAACGTGGATGCACCTCGTGGAGAGATGGGAATGCAGGTTCTGCACGAGATTGCTAAATCCACATGGCGTTCATCTGAGTTCAGCAGGTGCGCGCGGGCATAATATCTTAAAGATTGGCTCTGGAAAAACAATAGGTTGTTGATGAGTGTTGTTGAAATGATTGTAGACCTAGCGTGCCTGGTATGACTTCGACGTGTGAGCGCGAGCGTGTGGACTTTGTGCCATTTGCTGCAAAGGCATACTCCAAAAATATGTGCGCACACGGTAGCGGGGACGAGGGGGGTGTCAATACCCGGCCTGCCTGGGATGGCCTGAATTCATGAACAGATCAACGATGGGGTAAATACATGTGTAAACTTCAGTGTCCAGGGGGGTCCATATCGGGGGAATGGTGGTGGAGCCGACCCTTCTTTCCATCAGGAATGAATGTCCAGCTCCGCTGTTCGAGCAAACATCCCATCCACTCTCCGGCAATTTCTCGACACAGCTCAAGCAAGTATCGCAGTGTCACGTGGACCCTTGCCATGCAGATGCATGAACTGTGAGGAGGGCAAGTGATGATGGTGACGACGACATCGACGACGACGATGAGCATGATATTGGCGATGGTGACGGCGATGATGACGAGACAGAGACGGAGACAGAGCCCGCGCGCAAGAGTCCACACGAAGGGACTAAGCGGGTTGGGGGCACAAACGCCTCGGAAGACATACTACACGCGCCTTGCTGTCAAAATGGCAATGACGATGACGAGGGTGGCGACAACGACGGTGACGAGTATGCTGAAGACGGTGGCGAGGATGATGACGACGATGGTAACGGTGATGATAATGATGTTGTTGTTGATGATGCTGATGACTGTCATGATGATGATGACGATGATGTTGATGATGATGCTGATGATGATAGTGATGATGATTGTGGTGGTAACAACAACGACGACAACGACGACGAGGGCGACGTCGACAACGATGATGTTGATGATGACGATGATTACGATGGCGATGGCGATAACGATGACAATCACGATGGCGACGATGGTGATGATGATGGCGATGATGATGATGATGGTAATGATGACGATGATGATGATGAAGCTGGTGATGATGCTGGTGATAGTGATGATGGTGCTGGTGATAGTGATGATGGTGGTAATGGTGACAGTGACTGTGATGATGATAATCATAATGATGATGACGGAGACGAAGACTACGAAAACGACGACGACGATGATGATGACGATGACAATGACGATGACGATGACGAAAACGACGACGACGACGACGATGACAATGATGCTGATGATGATGACGACGACGACCAGGATGGTGATGATGATAATAATGATGATGATAATGATGATGATAATGATGATGATGATGCTGATGATGATGATGGTGGTGATGATGGTGGTGGCGGCGATTATGATAATGATGACAACGACGATGACGAGTGTCACAACGATGTCGATGAACAGTATCATGATGGCGATGATGATGGCGAAGGGACCGAGAAGGATGGTCAGGAGGTGCGCGCGTAGAAAACCGCGAGACATATCAACCAGCGTTGACTGCAAAGAGATCAGACGACTCAAATCAAGGAATCAGAGGAATCAAGCATGTTTGGAATCCGCAACTCAGCCAGCAAGCAAGCGTGCAAGCAAGCGCGCAAGCAAGCAAGCAAGCAAGCAAGCGTGCAAGCGCGCAAGCAAGCAAGCGAGCAAGCAGGCATAGGCATAGGCATAGGCATAGGCGTAGGCATAGGCGTAGGCATAGGAGATAGGGAGAGGCATAGGCGTAGGCATAGGCATAGCCATAGGAATTGGGGGGCATAGGAATTAGGCAACGGACCAATTAGTAGAATGAGTTAAAACTCCTATAGGGCAAGCCTATTTGGACCGTTTCTGTTGAGCAGATACAGATTAGCTGGCGTGGACTCGAAACGGCAAATTATTCCACTGTGGCTGTGGAAGCTATTTGATGCAATCTACGTGGTGCAAGCTGTGTGGCGCAAGCTTTGTGATGCGACCATCGACGGACCTCCCAAGCGCGGTGGGCAGCAACGAGGCGGCAACGGGCGGCGCCGCGGCGAAACCTCGACGGATCCCCAGAGTGGGCGGCAATAAGGCGGCAACGATGCGAAAACGGGCGGCGACACCTCCACGGACAACCCCCCCAGCGTGCGGCAAAGCGGCGGCAACGAGGCGGCAGCGGGCGGCGACGCAGCGAAACCACGACTGGTCCCCGAAGTGGGCGGCAACAAGGCGACAACGAGCGGCGACGAGGTGAAACCTCGACGAACCCCCAAATGGGCGTAAACGAGGCGGCAACGAGACACTGGGGCGGCGACGCAGCGAAACCTCGACAGCCGCCCCAAGCGGGCGGCAACGAGGCGAAAACGAGCGGCGACGCAGCGAAACCTCGACGGACCTATCCAAGCGGGCGGCAACGAGGGGGCAACGAGGCAATGACGAGCGGCGACGCGGCGAAACCCCGACGGGCCCCCGAAGTGGGCGGCAACGAGGCGGCAACGAGGCGACAACGGGCGGCGACGCGGCGAAACCTCGAAGGACCCTCGAAGTGGGCGGCAACAAAGCAGAAACGAAGTGGCAACGGCGGGCGACGCAGCGAAACCTCGACGAAACCCCGAAGTGAGCAGCAACGAGGCGGCAACGGGCGGCGACGGGGCGAAACCTCGACTGACCCCCCAAGTGGGCGGCAACGAGTCGGCAACAAGGCGGCAACGAGTGGCGACGCGGCGACACCCCTACTGACCCCCCAAGTAGGCGGCAACGAGGCGGCAACGATGCGGCAACGAGGCGAAAACGGGCGGCGACGGGCGAAACCTCGACTGAAGCAGGCGGCAACGAGGCGGCAACGAGGCAGCAACGAGTGGCGACGCGGCGAAACCTCGACGGACTCCCCAAATGGGTGGCAACCGGGCGGCGACAAGGCGACAACCAGGCGACAACGGGCGGCGACGCGGCGACACCTCGACGGGCCCCCGAAGTGGGCGGCAACGAGGCGGCAGAAAGGCGGCAACGGGCGGGGACCGCGGCGAAACCCCGACGCTTCAGACGACCCAGAAGAACCTCACGAGAGCCCGAAGACTGCCCCAGACGGGTTCCAGGCGTTCCAGCGCGCTCCCGAAACGACCCCAGAAAGCCCCAATACGGTCCACGACGACCTCCAAGAAGCCATCATACCCCCCAAAAGATCGCTCCGAAACGCCCCAAAAAGCCTCCAAGAGCACTCCCAAGAAGGCCCCAAGAGGCAAAAATCATTGATTTTCTATTGGTTTTTGGTGAATTTTGGGGTTCTCCTCTTTTCGGCTTCCCGACGCACCAATACGGCAGTCTTCTGGGCGTCCGAAGCCGCCTGGGAGGCTCCCAAATGGCCCCACAAGCATCCGAAAGGGCTTCCAGACATTCCAAGAGAGCCCCAAAACAGCACAACAGGGGTCCAAGATGGCCCTAAGAGAGACCCACGGCGGCCCAAGTCGGCCCCAAGACACCCTCCGAAGCATTCCAAGTCGTGACCCGGTCGTTCAGGGAGACCGCGGTTGGAGGCAGGGTGGCCCGAGGAAGCCCCCAGAACCCCCAGAACACGCACAGGAGGACTCCAGAAGGCCTTAAGAAAGCCTGAAACTTTTGTGAGGCCCCCAGAGGCTATCCAAAGAGGAGCCTCCGCAAAAAAAGCTGAGGAGGATGGGGAGAATGCGCAGGGTATGGCGATAATGATTAAACTATCCCGGCAAAGCAACCTAACAGCGATGTGTAGGAGCATATCTGCAAGCATTCCCCTTAATATTCAGATGAGAATACAGTTGTAGAATTCTGCTGTTCTCGCAGTCTTGGTCGCATTCGCGATGACAGTCGCAGTGGCAATGGCAGTCGCAGTCACAGCCTCAGCCTCAGCCTGCCTCAGCCTCAGCCTCAGCCTGCCTCAGCCTCAGCCTGCCTCAGCCTCAGCCTCAGCCTGCTTCAGCCTCAGCATCAGTCTGCCTTCAGCCTCGGCCTCAGCCTCAGCCTGCCTCAGCCTCAGCCTGCATCAGCCTCAGCCTCAGCCTCAGCCTGCCTCAGCATCAGCCTGCCTCAGCCTCAGCCTCAGCCTGCCTCAGCCTCAGCCTCAGCCTGCTTCAGCCTCAGCCTCAGTCTGCCGTCGGCCTCGGCCTCAGCCTCAGCCTGCCTCAGCCTCAGCCTGCATCAGCCTCAGCCTCAGCCTCAGCCTGCCTCAGCATCAGCCTGCCTCAGCCTCAGCCTCAGCCTGCCTCAGCCTCAGCCTCAGCCTGCTTCAGCCTCAGCCTCAGTCTGCCTTCAGCCTCGGCCTCAGCCTCAGCCTGCCTCAGCCTCAGCCTGCATCAGCCTCAGCCTCAGCCTCAGCCTCAGCCTGCCTCAGCCTCAGCCTCAGCCTCAGCCTCAGCCTCAGCCTGCTTCAGCCTCAGCCTCAGTCTGCCTTCAGCCTCGGCCTCAGCCTCAGCCTGCCTCAGCCTCAGCCTCAGCCTCAGCCTCAGCCTGCCTCAGCATCAGCCTGCCTCAGCCTCAGCCTCAGCCTGCCTCAGCCTCAGCCTCAGCCTGCTTCAGCCTCAGCAGCCTCAGCCTGCCTCAGCCTCAGCCTGCATCAGCCTCAGCCTCAGCCTCAGCCTGCCTCAGCATCAGCCTGCCTCAGCCTCAGCCTCAGCCTGCAGCCTCAGCCTCAGCCTGCTTCAGCCTCAGCCTCAGTCTGCCTTCAGCCTCGGCCTCAGCCTCAGCCTGCCTCAGCCTCAGCCTGCCTCAGCCTCAGCCTCAGCCTCAGCCTCAGCATCAGCCTGCCTCAGCCTCAGCCTCAGCCTCAGCCTCAGCCTGCTTCAGCCTCAGCCTCAGTCTGCCTTCAGCCTCGGCCTCAGCCTGCCTGCCTCAGCCTCAGCCTTCATGTGGCCCGGGAATGGAATTCTGGGAACTCGAAGAACACGAAGTGCCTACAGTTGGCTCCGGGCATTCAAAATCATGCCCAGGAATGGAGTTCTGGGAACTCGAAGACCACGAAGTGGCCTACAGTTGGCTCCGGGCATTCAAAATCATGCCCAGGAATGGAGTTCTGGGAACTCGAAGACCACGAAGTGGCCTACAGTTGGCTCTGGGCATTCAAAATCATGCCCAGGAATGGAGTTCTGGGAACTCGAAGAACACGAAGTGGCCTACAGTTGGCTCCGGGCATTCAAAATCATGCCCAGGAATGGAGTTCTGGGAACTCGAAGACCACGAAGTGCGTTACTGTTGGCTAAACTACTAGAAACCTATCAGTCTTCGCTGTTAGTCCAAGAACACGAAGTGGCCTACAGTTGACTCCGGGCATCCAAAATGTGGCCCGGAGAACACCAAGTGGCCTACAGTTGGCTCCTGGCATACAAAATGTGGGCCGGGAATGGAGTTCTGGGAGCACAGTTGGCGCCGGGCATCCAAAATGTAGCCCGGGAGTGGAGTTCTGGGACCGCCAAGAGCGATTTTGCGAGGATGTCCCAGGCGATTTGGGCTCCGACGGCAGCCGCCGGCTTTTCCCCGGATGCCGCCCAGACCCCCCTGGGGAGTCA